TGCAATTCTGTGAGTCTTTTCGCTCGGAAACTGACATTGCATAGGTATTTTGGTGGATATATATATTATTTGACTTTTGGCTGCTACACAGTACCTTTACCGTGTGTGAATAATCGTTTGCGGTTTGAACGACAGGAACAGTACTTGCGTGCCTTAGAAGACAAATAGCGGACTCAATGGTGTCAACGTTACGTTATATGACTCTTAAATGAACAAAGAGGATTATAATTTATATCATAATAAAACCTATTCAGATTCACGGAATTATAGGTGTGATTCCTGGATCAGCAGCAACAACAACAACAACAACAACAACAACAACAACAACAACAACAGCAACAACCGAATCGATAAGCATAGATGCGATTCGAAGACTAAAAGACAACTGGTTCTGAACACTGTTTAAAAGACACTCGCCTCCTGTATCGGGGTTTCTAAAACAACAAGACCGCCATGTCTGGCTGCCGTCTTCTCTCCAACACTACCCCAGCTGTGGAGTGCGCCGGATCTCAGGACTTCGAGGACAACAGACTAGCAGAAGGACTGATCAATGCCGAGCACAAAAGGATAATTGTGTTAGTTTTAGTCAGAGTCATCACTGTACTTATAGAAGTTTTCGGTATCCTCACAAACTCAGCCAACATCGTAACATTCCTGAAAATAGGACTCACTGACACTGTCAACGTTTCCTTTTTCGCTCTGTCTTTGTCCGACTTGTGTCTCTTGTTGGTTTCACTCTTTAATTATCTCGCCGTTGTACTCAGCGACTTTGACGTGGCCTGGTCCGTCCAGCCGGTGTCACTGGCCCTGCACGGCACGACCTACTTCCAGCTGTTCCTGGACACGTCCATTCTCACCACCACGTACATCAGTGTACAGCGCTGCTGCTGTGTCGCGCTACCGTTTAGGTTCAAAACCGATTTCACCGTCAGGAGAAGTGTGATCATCTTGTGCGTCCTGTACACGTTTGTCCTCGCCTGCTACATACCGATGATTTACACCCAGACTCTCGTGGAAGCCGTCAACCCCGCGCGGAACACAACCTGGTACGTGCTGTCTTTCCTGCCACAGAGACAACCCGTCCTGGGAGTCTTTGTCATTCTCAACCGTCTTCTCCTCCCAGCCGTTACCCAATCCGTGGTCATGATTTGTCTCGTTATACTCAGCACCAGTCTACGTGAGGCCAGCAAGTTTCGCTCCTCGCTTGTCTCCACGCCTAACGACGAACAAACGACAAAGGGAAATGATAAAAGTAACGCCAAGTCTTGGAGCAGACGAGAGATTCAGGTTGTCAAGTCCACAGCTCTTGTGGCCGCGGTATTTGTGATAACCAACACACCCGCCGTCATCATATCTTTCTCCATGAGGTTTGTCCAAGGCTTCGACTTATACAAACAGTACCACAACCTTTTCATCGTAACCAACGTCACGCGGAACATCTTCGAGTACTGCAGCGCGTCCTTCAACATTCTGATTTACTTAAAGTTCAACACAAGGTTCAAGGACACGTTTATGGCTACATTCCGAGAGCCCAGTCGGGGACTGTCTTGAGGAGCGAAACTCGATCGGGACGTCCTTAAATAAAGACGACACATGGTCTGTTTTCTTTGAAATATCGTTGTCTGAAAGACAGTGTATGGAATCAAAAGTCACACATCATCCATCCATTTGTTTATTGAATATTTCTTTAATAAATGTAGGTGTTTTATATCCCTATTTGCACAGTTAAGATATAGACAGACAAAAACACATGTCTAGACCCACATAGGCACGTTGAAAAGAAGAGGAGGAAGAGACAAGTTTCAGGCGCAGACTTATACGAGTATTCCCTTGCCCCTTGCTTATCGTGGAAAGCCTTCCACACAGTATACTTTTCTTCCATTCTACTCTTGCTTCTTCTTTAAGCTCCACCACCCCCCCCTTTCTTCCTTTCTCATAGTTCTCTTTTATGCACCCTCTTCCATCTCTCTCTCTCTCTCCGTCTCTCTCTCTCTCTCTCTCTCTCTCTCTCTCTCTCTCTCTCTCCCTCTCTCCGATCTCCCCCAGGAATATACACTTTTTTATCTTGCCCTCCATTTCCTCCATTTCCTCTCTGACATTTCCCTGTCCACGAGCTAGGCCCCAGAAGGAAGGCCCCAGAAAAAGAACAAAGAAAGTCGTGAGCACTTTTACGAGAGACGCCACAATCATCTCTACATTTCGCTCATCCATTTTTTAAGACGTCCAGAATTACAGGAGACATATTGCGTAGTTAGATCATTTCGCAGACAGTACTCTTGAACGTTGAGAGATTTGCTTTCTATAAAACTATAAAAGTCCTGCCAGTTATTCACCTTCACTGTACACGTTTTACACTCCTTTCAACACTTTAAGGCTGTTTGAGAAGCAGCACCTGCGAATTTAACGTCTATCTCCGATAGGACCGTACCAAAAGAGTGAAGAACATTAAACACTTCCCGAAAACATCTGAAGTTCAGGACGCCCCGTTGGGGATTCGAACCAAGGCCTTCCGTTCTGTAGTCCAGTTGTCCAGCATCAAACGGCAAAGACTTTGTTCATTACTTGCAACAACCAATTAATTAGATGCAGATTGTTCATTGTCAAAGCGTGCCTCACCTTCAAGAGCTCGTTTTTCAAAGGTAAAAGGCTAGCTGGAATTCTAATGCCCTTAAACAAAATAAAAGAGCACTGACTTGAGACAAATTCACCTGCATATAAAGAGCAATATCGTAGGATGTGCTTCAAAGCGTTTGCCTCTAGAGTGAGACTGGTGGTTTACTTTCTATTTGGGTGCCCATGGAGTGCAGTCTTTGATGCGAAGAGTTTTGTAGAGAGTGAAGATCAACGACCATAACAATGTTTGTTTGTTTGTTTGTTTGTTTGTGTGTTTGTTTGAGTAAAGAGAGGTACAACGACACAATAATGACCATTTAGTACAGGGAAAACGTAAAACAGACACATAGGATCAACAGAGGGGAAAGTTATGAAGTAGGACCTGTCAGTGGCACCCTCCAATCACCCTACTAGACTCTTGACAGCCCAACGCACTCCGTGATCTTTAACTCTCCTCTGTTAGACCCGAGCCTGTCTGGGGCAATTTGCTCTAAAAGTACATCGGTCCGAGAACTGGACAGGTTAACAACCTTTCTTTACGTCAAAGAGTCACCGTATCTGGGGTAACAATTTCGTCCGACTTTTGCCCCAGCCGAGAGATGAAACAATATGGCGGCGGAAATATGGCGACGTGCTCGTCACTTCCGGGGGGCAGACAGAAGATGAAGAAGCAGGAGGAGGGGGGGGGGGAGACAAACCAGGGGTTAATTAGGGGGTCATTTAGCCCCGGCTCACTTGCCCGGGCGGTCACTCGCTCTGATCTCCCCTTAGACGACAGGAAATTGAATTCACCCGGAGCATGGCCGTTTTTCTCCCGCTGACCATTGTGAACGGAGGCCGGCTGGGCACGAGAATACGCTGTGGCCACGACTGAGAGAAGGAATATATGGGTAGGAGTCTTCTGTCTTTCTCATGTATTGCTTTTGTTTTCTCTCATTCCACCTTGCATTTTGAGTTGTCAGTCTTTGTTGGTTCAGTTTCTGCTACTTTGTTTGTTTGTTTGTGTGTCTATGTGTCTGTCTGGCTGTATGCCTCTTTCCTTCCTCTGCCCCCTTCCCAGGAGAGAAAGAGAGAGACATACAGACAGACACACAGACAGACATACAGACAGACAGACAGAAGCTCATCCCAGCATAACAAAGGCTCTTGAGAAACCGATTTGTTCTTGAAAACCAAAAGGTAGAATTTCGGAATAGTTAAAAGAATTGACTGTCTCTCGTCTCCACCCAATAGGTTTTAATCAAATTAAGCTTCCAGTCACATATGTTCTCTGTCTTTCATGTTTCAACGAATATTTAATTATGTTTTTTTGTTTTTTTGTAAAGTGTTTTACGGCGCTCGCAACTGCATAAGGTCATATGAGCGCGCGGGACACACCTAATATTTTCAGTTCGTAGGAAATTTTGAATTTGGCCCGGGTGGCGGCCGAAGCCTACTCTTATCGATTTTAGACCACCAAAGGATCTTTAACGTGCGCAACTTGCACACGGGCCCTCCGAGATTTTTCGCCCTTGTCCGAGAAGGCTAGGTGTAGATCTTTCCTACCAGAAGATCAGGGGTGTGGCTGAAAGACAGCAGTAAGAAGAAGCGAAGGAGTAGCAGTAGAAAGACTGCAGAAAGAATCAGGAGCCCAGAGGAAGGGGCAAAGGAGGTGAGGGGGTGGGAGACGAAAGCAGACGACAGAACATTGCTAGAGAGCAGGAAATGAGGAGAAAGGAGACACATTTAGAGAAGAAAATTCTTAGGTCGCTACCCGGATTCGAACCCGGGACCTTTTGAATGAGAGGCCAACACCTTAACGTCTAGGCCACGAGAGCGCCCCTGAATATATTATTATGTGGTTACACAGGTAACATAGATATCTATGTGTCACGACGCGGTGGAATCAGGCGCTCGTCAATTGTTGGGCATGTAGAGTTATTGGTATCTTCTGAAAGCTTATCCATTATTTTTGTGCTCAATGGAAAGAATTCACATATATCTTAAATAGATGTCAAGATATTTGCGATTGAAGGAGGAGGGGAAGTCGTCTTGTTTCAGTGGTGGAATTAGCTATGAAATGGCCTCCAAAGTTTGGAAACTCGAATAGCTAAAAAGCCCTTGAAAATTGAAAAATGACATATTTAGCGTCTTTAATCAACGTTTTCCCAGTAAAATCCACATGGGAATATGTTTTTGTATGGACATAATGGGGTTTGAGCCAGCCCCCCCCCCCTTCCTAAAAAAAATCGATACAAAATGCCTAACTGGCGGGAAAGTGTCTTTTTCTCCGATTTCGTTATTTTGACGAGCACCTGATCTCACCACGATGACTCACATAATACCTGGCTACCACTTTCAGTGTGTGCTCTAGTCAGTTCCCACAATCTCTGCTCGCACGTACTCACCACGGCACCTGCAGCTGTCCCATTCTCCGGGGTCCCGTTTCTCTCCTGTCTCTCAGCCCTCTCCGGAGAGCGATCTTCATCTGACGACGCGCTAAAAGGCACGGGCGAGAACCCCTGCAAAAACTTCTTCATCGTCGTCCTGTGTGCCTCTCTCAGCGGTACATCCACAAACCTCCCAACACGTCATGCTACCCCTGGAGAGTCGCGGGGGGGGGGAAGGGCTATTCGCTGCCCAGATTGGGAGACACAGACGTGAGCAGTTGGCACTTGTATGGCCACATGCCGATTTGGCGTAAAGTAGTTCTTGTGCGTCGGTCAATGTTTACGCTTTGAAGAAGGCACTTTGGACACTGTTTGATCACTCATGTGACGTCATATCTGCGTCAACTGCAAATTCGGGCCCATAAATGATGGGCTTTGATGATCGTTCTGTGTTCTAGATGAATTCCCCGTTCCTTTAGAGATTGGTTTTCTGAACACTTGAGATGTGTACACATACGACACCGAAATCTCTTTGTCCTTGACTGAGTTTTACAGATCAAAAGGAAGCGTCATCCATATATCACACATCGAGTTCACCAAGAAATCTGTCAGTAGTTGCAGAAGATTCCGTCCACGATATCAAAACTCACAATGTCGTCAACACTTTAACCAAAAGAAATATTGGAAAAGGGTTTATACAAACAAAGCTCAGTAGAACTAAAGAATTATTTATAACACAGTCGAAAAAAAACACGCGCTGGACACGAGAGCGGCTCATAGATTTCAGAAAACGGAAAAAAAATCGTTCACGCCACAACACACCCCATAACCTAAATTGCTCGCCAACAAAGCGGGGTGAGTGTTTGTAGACCGCGCGTGAGCAAATGTCCCCACATCAAACAATTGCCCCAGAAACAGAAACATTTTCACGAAACTCGCTGACAAAACAACCAATCTGAATCCACAGGGAATAAACCACCACACGCTCATCCAGATACAGCGGGGTACAGTACTGCACTTTGCGAGGTTTCTACACTTCTGAAGTTTTCGAGGTGGTTTCAGAATTGCCAGAGATTACAATCCGAATCGCTACACACACACACGCGCGCACACGCGCGCGCACACGCGCGCACACGCGCGCGCACACGCGCGCACACACACACACACACACACACACACATATACACACACACACACACACACGTGCGCGCATACACACACACGCACACACACACACACACGCGCAACACTCACTCACTCACTCACTCACTCAATCACTCAGTCACTTACTCGCTCTCTCTTTCTCTCTCTCTCTCTCTCTCACACACACACACACTCTCTCTCTCTCTCTCTCTCTCTCTCTCTCTCTCTCTCTCTCTCTCACACACACATACACACACACACACACACACACACACACATACACACACACGATGGTGCACTAACGAATGTACCACAACGCTTTGTTGCTGTTTCTATCAGATATTGTTTTTACTTTGGCGTGTTTACTCCCCCCCCCCCCCAAGTCTGACTCCAGCGGCGAGGAGTTCGAGGCACTTGGGAAGCTGACGAGATCGATTTCCGGGTCCTCCCAGACGTAGATAGAGGTCACTGTTTGACTTGTTTAGTGCCCTCGCTCAGTACAGGAAGGGAGGTTTTTTACAGACGATGGAAGAAGGCAGAAGATGGGACAGGGGGGGGGGGGGGCTGGTTGAAGGGTGGGGGAGGGGGGTGAGGGGAGGTGGGTTTTGGGGGTAAGGTGGAGTGGGTGGGGGGAGGTCTCTAGCCTGTGGCGGGTCCCATTTTTGGCCTGTTTATCCATTATTTCTGTCTTTTGCCTTGCCTTCCATTATTTCTGTCTTTTGCCTTGCCTTCCCCCAACGCTTAATCTCAATTATTGTGTCAGGGGATCTCTCCTTAACTTGTGGCAAAGATTCAGAGAGAGAGAGAGAGAGAGAGAGAGAGAGAGAGAGAGAGAGAGAGAGAGAGAGAGAGAGAAAGAGAGAGAGAAAGAGAGAGAGAGAAAGAGAGAGATAGACAGACAGACAGACAGACAAACAAACAAACAGACAGACAGACAGAAAGACAGACAGACAAACAAACAGACAGACTGACAGACAGACTGAGAAGCTAAAAAGGTTGAGGAAATTATAGTGCCAAGGAGATGGCAGATATTTTAAAAAGTCATTTTGATTTTATTTAGATGATTGAGGAGGCAGTTTTGGACCCTGCCTGTCATGGCCGACTAGGGCTGAGAGGGAAACATACATATATTTCTCGCAGAAAGACTGAGTGAATCGATAGAAATTCTTGCAACACGGATATCTAACTGAGGTCTTAAGTAAACGATGGCAAAAAATTTAATCACAACAACACAGACGCCGGAAGATAGATATACAGACAGACAGACAGACAGACAGACAGACAGACAGACAGACAGACAGACAGACAAGACAGACAGACAGACAGACAGACAGACAGACAGACAGACAGAAAGACAGATAGAGAGACAGACAGAGAGATAGATAGAGAAATAGACAGAGAGAGAAGAAGAAGAAAGAAGAAAAACAAGGAAAAAGAACCACCAAACACAGTCCAGTTTACGACAACACGTAGATCACTAGCACATCAAGCGACAGACAGAACGACTTGTCAATAAAGGTTGGTAAGCCGGCACACACATTATGAAGGCAATATGATTGATTGATTGATTCAGTAGGTGTTTTACGGCACTATCGACTCTATTTTGTGAAAGCAATAGACAAACAAGGCAATCACCAACACACCATCCAGCACAACGTGCCTGCATAAAATAACATTCGATGGCAGCAAGGCAAGAGGGCGACCGAGAAGGACCTGGATAGATGGAGTCTGGGAAACATTAACCACCCACGGCATCCCCCTGACCCAAGCTCTCCGGCTGGTGACAGAGAGACATCTCTTTCTTCCCGCGACACCCAAAAGGGTATAAGAGGATGGAGGATTAGAGGAAGGCAACAAACAGATGGGAACAGGATACTGTGTAAACAGGTCTAGTACAGGCAATTTACCAACAAAAGAGGATCCGTACTTATTGAAAACCCCGTGAGATAGCTCTCTGACTAAACTGGAAAAACAATCAACATAAAGCGATATCGTAATGACAACTTGGAACAGTAGCATGTCGCTTTGACCGCTCCAAACGTCTGTTTTGTTGTTGTTTTTTGTGTGTTTTATTTATCTTTTGCTAAGCTTTTCTCTCTCTCTCTCTCTCTCTCTCTCTCCCTCTCCCTCTCTCTCTCTCTCCCTCTCTCTCTCTCTCTCTCTCTCCCTCTCTCTCTCCCTCTCTCTCTCTCTCTCTCCCCCCTCTCTCTCTCCCTCTCTCTCTCTCCCTCTCTCTCTCTCCCTCTCTCTCTCTCTCTCCCTCTCTCTCTCTCTCCCTCTCTCTCTCCCCCTCTCTCTCTCTCTCTCTCTCTCTCTCTCCCAGAAGCACGCTTCTACCCCTCCCCCCCTCCCATCCTCCCGGTAGCAGCCGTTTTAAAACTGTCACCTAAAAATATGTTTGAAAAAGTGTTGGTGAACATCAAAATTTGTCTCACAACTACTTTCCTCTGAGATTCAAATAAAATGAATATGACACTGAAGAATAAAGCTGGGAAATCAAAAGCATAAAACGACCAAAAATTATATCAGCAAACAATAAAACTGAAAACAAATATAACGAAACGGTTTCGGAGAGCTTCCAATCGCAGGCGGAGATCATAAAGTTGTACCTCAGGGCGGGGAGTGGGGAGTCCGCAGGGAACAATTTATGGATGAGATAGGTTCACCGGGTTATATGTGTGAGGCACTGTGGTGGAATCAGGCGCTCGTCAATAGTTGGGGATACAGAGTTATCAATATCATCTTAAAGTTTGTTCATTTGTCTGGCATTTGGAGAAAGAAATACCCGTCTGTCATGAATAGAAGTCTGGATATTTGCGATTGAAGGGGGTGGGGGTAGCCTGGTGTGAGAGATACAATTAGCGAGAAAATGGCTGCCAAAGTTTAGGGACTTCCAAAGCTTGAGTGACCTTGGAAACAGGACATTTACATCTCTGGTGCCTGTGTTTTTCTGTAACGTCCAAACAGAAAGGTGTTTTTAAAAGGCCATGAAAGGTGTTGAACCTAAAACAAATGAAATTAAAATTTTTTTTTTTTAAATCCAATTTCCTGAAAAATGCTAGAACTCTGGTTTCTTTGTTTTCCCTGTTTTGACGAGCGCTTGATTTCACCACGCTGCCTCACATAATTATTTATATTCTACCCCAGCAGTCCGGACCAAATACTGTCTGATCGGCCACAGGAGAGACAAATGTTGACCTATGCTTCCGGAGATAACTAGAAGACCATCAATACAATAGGACTAATATAGTGCTCGAGGTTAGTGCTCGAGGTTAGTGCTTGAGGTTAGTGCTTGAGGTTAGTGCTTGAGGTTAGTGCTCGAGGTTAGTGCTCGAGGTTAGTGCTTGAGGTTAGTGCTCGAGGTTAGTGCTTGAGGTTAGTGCTCGAGGTTAGTGCTTGAGGTTAGTCTGGTCGTTTTGCAGCACGGGCAACCCAGATAGGTCATATACGTGTCAGAGAGTAGAAGTACGTGTTACTAGAGAATAACATACAGAGTTTTAAAAAGCAGAAGAGAGAATTTCAAAAAAATAGTTTTAGTAAGTGTTTTACGGCACTTGCAAAACAGTAAGGTCATATAAGTGCCGAAGATTAGAGGAGTTACAAGAGAGTAAAATACACAAAAAAGAAAGAGAGGAGATAAAGACAATAGATGTTTGATAGGAAAAAAGAAGAAAACCACACCGGGGCATCCGCCAACCACCCACAAGGAGAGATAGGGAGGATAGATGTTTGGCAGGCAGGAAAGATGACCACACAAGAGCACCCGCCAACCACCCACATGAAGAGATAGGGAGGATAGATGTTTGGCAGGCAGGTAAGATGACCACACCACGGACCACCCACCTCAGGAGGGTAAAACTAGCAGACAACAACAACAGAAGGATCACAGTGAACATGTCGGGCCAGCCTGTAGCACCCTCCAACAACCCACTCTTCTGTCTTCTTATACAGTGATAATAAATGACTGGGGAATCCGTTTTTTATAGACTTCCTGTATGTTGTAAAATTTCGATTTGGGGGGGGGGGGGGGGGGGGGTCATAGGAACCTAAGATTCTCACGTGAACCGGTGGGTATATCACAAGGCAGAGGAGAGGAGAGGCAAGGAACATAACAACGTGTGACCAGGCCTAGCCTATCCCCCCAACAATGATCCGTAATGAAAGCAATCATTTCGTGTCCGACCATTTTGTACAAAATTAACTATGTCTCACTAGCAAATATTCAAGACCTTCCAGAGGCGGTCCCCAAACATTTGTACAGTGGCAGAAATCTGCAGGTAACAAACTGAGTGATATAAAAGCCCAGTCTGTCAAATCTCAAGCAGCTGATAACGCCACGAAAATGGCGTGACCTTCTATCCACATCCATCTTTTTTTAAACACTGTAAACACTCTTCTTTTTACGAACGCATCAAAGCGTAGCTGAAAATACAGAGTTCCTGGATAAAGTTGGGAATATTGATAAATTCCATATCAACCCCCACAGTTCAAAACCTAGGTATGAAACAGACTTGACTCTCACCAACCTGGCTAAAAGAAATGCGTATCTCCATTTA